GCACAAAGGCAGCTTTTAGCTCCAGTAGAAGGAGTTTATTTCATCATTGTGCTACTATTTCAAGGGCTGCACAACCAACAATAAAGAGAGAGAACCCTATAATCAGATTTTCATATTAGATTGTTCATCATAGAATAAATATATTGGTTAGAAAATCACAAATCTGCATTTGTTTCAGTAGACTTGAAATCATTAAAGTTATCAAAATGATAGTTCTTTGTGCCTTTCTTTAAGCTTGTTGAAGGTATCCAAGCAGAATACCATGTAATTGCTTATTCTCCTTAATGAAATTTGGAGTCCTTTCACATCTCATGTAAATAATAGTAAAAGTAAATAACTTAATTAATTTGCTATTGATGTTTTGTTCATTTTGTCTGAAGAGATAAGTTAGTCATGAGCAGGGGAAAGGGAGCATATGGGTATGGAGAAACCTGGGATATGTGAATAAAGTAGTGACTATTATTTATAAAATTCAGGGCCATTCAGTTACAACTGGCTGTTTGCCAATTACTATAAAAGGCAGAATTAGCTGAAAAACAGTACCAATTAGGGAAAGATGAGGAGGAGGATTACAAAGTACTCTGAAATCCAGTGTTGAATGTACTGGTTTATCCTTTTCTGTGAAAAAAATATGAGACATATTTAGCTTCCTGCCCTCCAGATGCATTTGTATACTATAGTAAATATCAGAAATAGAAGTTCAAGTGTCTATTTTGTCTGATTTAAAGATTTAATTTCAGAATCTCCTGCAAGATATGTGATATGCCTACAGTTATTTCTATTATATGGGATGATTCTTTCACTCCTTGGTCCAATAACTAAATGAAATTGCTTTACTTTATGAAATTAACATTATTGTATTTTCATTCAATTTGTTCATTGTTCAATAAATAACATTAATAATCCTAGAGAGAAGTTGCCGTATCTTAGAACTACTACATCCTTACCCATTCCATTTCTTCTTTTAGCCACACCTTTTGCCCCCTGGAAAACAAGGGCTGAGTTGAGCAGATCTCCTGTTCTGGTGTCCAAGTTTTCCATTTTGCTTGTAAATTTTCTTGCTTCCACTTGGATCAAACAAGCTAATCACATGCCTGATGTGTATTTGAGTACTGGCACAAGGATTTTATTCTTAACTATATATTTCCATGGCTCAACTCAGCAGATTTTATAAGAAAGGAAGGAAAAAGCAATATTGTCACATAGTAATTGCCTCTATAATTTTTGTTGAAAAACACATCTGTCTTTCTCTTTCTTCTGTGTATTTTTTTCCTTTTTTTGATGGGGAGCTTTGGCTTTACTTCTGAGACTCGTTTCAACTAAAGTTCAACAAAATCACAATTTTCTTTAAACATGCATATATCTTTAAGAGTCTTCTGAATTAGAGGAGATCATTTAAATGGAGCCTAGTATTAAACCAAAGTATATAAGTAAAGTTTCTGGTATTAAACATATCAACTTAAGATGAGTAGAACTAATTAAGAAAAGCTGATACATCTTGATTTTGGATCTAATGTCAGGTCAGTCATTTTGATTACTCTGCACATCAGATTATTCAAGAGTTCTAAAATGTTGTCATTTCTATAAGTACTTTGCAGCTGTGAATACATACATCAGAGAAGATACTACAATTCAAATTAGCTGCAGGTTTAATATTGTCTGCAACTGCCATATTTTACAAAGCTGTAAAGACAGGATCTCTTCTGCACCTGGAATAGTTGTATTTAAAATAGATACGAGTAGGTGTTATCAGTCCCCATTAAGATTTCCTCAGCACTTCGGAGAGTGAGTTTCAGAGGTCTGTTTCCAAAACTATTACTAATTTCTGTTCTAAACTCAAAATGTTTGCAACTCTGCAGCACTCAGTCAGCCTTCCCCTAATAACATTTCTTGATTTTTTAAAAAGAGGTGTCTCATTATCTTGAAGGTTTACTAACTAAAAAACATAGAAGTGTCCAACATAATTTGTGACACATATAATTTACAGCAGCTTCCACTCTCTATTAAAAAACAAGGAACAGGGCACAGTAATTCTCAATGAAAAGGTGTATCAATGTCCCTAATGCCCACTGAAAACCTCATTTTTTTCTGTTAAGAGATCCTAGAATATTATCTGCATATTATGCAGATTCTCAGAAGATGTAACTTGCTGTTGATCCATAACAAGCTATTTACAGAGATAGAAGATGTCATCTGAAGACCTAAAAAAATGTCATGGACTCACATTAGTTATAGGATTGAACCTGCCATCTTTGTCCTCCAAATTACTCTGTACATCTTCTGACCTGCAGTTCCTTGCTCCATGCTCAGACTGCACTTCAGCAAAAGCTGAAAGCTTGATAGAGTGCTTCAAAGCATTTTACATATGGTAAATATAAGGATTGTGCTAAGTCAACAAAAACCATTATACACGTAAATGGAGTGACAGAAAACATCTTTCTCCTAATTTGTTTCCAATGCCTTGGTAAAAGAGATACAAAACTACAAGAGGTAGTTTTGCAGGTACTCCCATGGCAAAATTTGACCTGTATAAAATGTTAACAGAAATACATTCTTTCCTTCTTTTCTAGATTCAGACAAGGACTTCTGACTTATTGAAGATATTAAGCTGGTGAATTAGGAGACAGATAATTTTTTATACTTTTGCTTTTTCTATAAATTAATTCCCTTTCAAAAATTAGCTGACTGGAGTTTTAAAATGGAAATGTTTGATCTATTGCAAACACTGTACCAACAAACGTAAAGACTGACTAGTTTGAGAGTTAAAGTTATTTCAGATTTTTTTTGAAGGAGGTTTTTTTCAGCTATCTTTTTAAGCGCAAGATTGAAGTCACCCAACATATTCTCATGCCTCAGAGATTCTCATTAAAAGAAGTTATAGCAACTGAATATAAGGTACAATATTTTGGACTCTGTCTATTTCAGCATGAGCACTTTTCACTGTATCTTTGTTTTTTTCCCAACAGCTGGGTCTAATGTGGAAACTATCAGGCACTCCACTTGCTTTTATGCACGAAAAAGTGTCTCACTGCTTTTTCTCTCTTATAATAGGCACTATTAAAATTCTTAACCAACACCCCACTACTTGCAATAACCACAACATCCTTCTGTATTTAGAACCTTAAGTGACACTTTAAATGATAAATGCTGAGCTCTTAATATCTCCAACTCTATTAACGTATGAAGAATATTATTCCCTCTGCATCAAGATGCTGTAAGAACTGTACTAATAAGGTGTTGGTAAGATAGATCAGTTTTACTTCCCACTACCATGCCATACTTCTAGCAATCCAGACAAAGCCTGTGAGGAAATATCTTCCTTCCTCCTGCAGTGATGATTGAAATCCATCTCTCCAAAAGTGCATCTGTGTAACTGTGGCAAGCAAAGAAAGGGAAATAATTGTAGGTTATGGCTGCAGCACCTGTGATAAGGGGCACCAGTGGTATTATCAGAGCCACGATTTACCATTTCATCAGGTGAAAGGGGATCTCAAGTGTTTGTCCCACAGATGGCAAGCTGTCTCCCCGTGGAACCTGTAGTATACATGAGAAAGAAAGTCACACCCATTCTTCTCTTTCTACTCTTTTAAGTCTTCCCCTACATGGTGACATTTCATTAGAAACTCTGAAACTAACAAGAAAAGCATTCTAGTGAGACTGGTCACCTGAGCATACGCCAGCAGATTGCTGACATGCACTGGAATTAGTCAGGACACTTAAAGACAGAATGAAGAAAACAATGGAAATGTATCATCTGGGTCACCAATAGAATGAAAAAGAGATTCTGCATCTCCTGAGAATAAATGAAACTATAATTTCCTGTATATGAAGGAATATCTGAATGAAAATTTGTCAGTGAAAGGAAAGGACACTGAGGTGATGAAGATTGATATTGAAGAAGTGTATAAAATCATGAAATAAAGCGTGGAATCTCCTTCTTCATTATCAAGAAAATGTTGATCATTATCAACATTATCAAGAAAATGTTGATCTTTAACACTAAAAGCCACACGGCAAATCAAAATATGTATGAATAATACACATTTGTGTATGGTTTTTGATGAAACCTAGTCTGAGACCCTTGTGTCATGATCAGAGTGAGTGAACAGAAGGAAATTAAATAGAAAATAAATGTATTCAAATGAGTTCAAATCCTTCAGTTTACTGAGAAGCAGTCCTTATCAAACTGTAAGGAATAAAGACTAGAGGATTTGATATGCTTTGAGGACACAAGACAGCTACATGTTAATCTGGCAGCATAGCCCAGCCTTCATCAGAGGCACACAGGTGGATTGAGAGGCATTAGCAGGATTTGTATGACGAGTAGGCACTAATGGAACTTTCATACAGATATTCCTTAACTTGTGAGTGTGAACTGCCTGCCCAGAATGCCAAAAGAGCATAGGCCTATGTTCATGGAATGTAAGCTATCACAGCTCAATAGTTACTTTGAACTACACTGAGACTGCACCTGACCCTTAGTGCTCAAAGTGGTGTTAGCCACAAAACAGATCATTTAAAACCTTAGGCTCTGAGTCCACTAGTAAACAGCTGAAGTCTAACTTGCTGTCCTGACTCAGGTTCCACTGATTACACTACTTACATTAATTAAAAAGAAAATAAGTGTCTCCTATCCACTGTATTGATACGTTTCATAAATTGCCAAATCTTGGAATGAAAATAGCATCTTTATATCAGAGCACAGTTCCTCAAGCAAAACTATTGCTGTGAATACAGAGAGCAGAGAAATAGTATTCTGTGATTCCTAAGCTGCAATATGCTCATTTTTCTATTCAACTTGGAATCCTGCACTGTGACATGGGTGACTTGATGTGTTCTTTGCAACTGTTCAAGCAATCACTTGAATAACTAAAAAAAAGAATTAAACACAAGAAATACACCCCTTTCTCCCAGTTACAGAATAAGACAGACCTGATTCTAGGCTCTTCATAAAACTTCTGTGGTTACTACCAGAGGTACATGTCACATATGTAAGGTTGCAATGTCATCAGCTATGCTAGCTCCAGAGATTTCTCAGAAGTTTCAGGTTATTTGATGTCTCCTAGAAAATTCTATAGTGTTCTACAACATGCATCTGTTTTCTCTCATCTTTTCTTAGTGATCCTTAACAGTGAACTGGAAGGTACACAGCCTCCTTTGTTTTCAAGAAGAGAACTCTAATAGAGCAGGCATGACATTGTATATTTATTGGCCCTCATTTCTGAGAAAACAAAGGGGGTTTTTTACCCTACTATTCCCACAGCAGGAACCTTACTGTTTTATTGGTTAGATTTAAGTTCCCAGCCAATTTACAGATTCTTAGCCTTTCTCCTACCTTGATGTTTTCTCCAGTGATGCACTTACAAAAAGATACCATATCTCTTCTCAGCCTTCAGGCTAAAGAAGACTAAGCCTTTCAGTTGCCCTGTATGAGACACATTCATTATTCCCTTTTTATCTTATCACAGACCTTCTTGACTCTTTTTCTTCTCAAGAACATCTTTATGTGATATGAGTGATTAGGAACGCATGCTGCATTTCAGCCCTGTTTTCTACAGCAGAACAATTTTTTTCCTACCTCCTGCCCCTAATGGCCTTGTTCGTGACTACCCCTTCCTCAAACTGAGCTCCTTTTCCTTGACTGAAAGCACAAAAATATGGCTGGCTGATACAAAATGCGTTGGACATACTTACCTTGCAAATCCCAGCTTGGCATCACAGATCTATGTTTCTCACCTGTGGTGCTGGCTGCCAGAAGGAGAGTCTGCCTCCACAGCTGTGTGAGGCCAGGGGAGGAGAAGGAGGAAGCATCAAGCTGTTAATACGGGGACTTGGCTGCATGTGTTACAGGGCCCTCAAAGCTACTGCTCTGCAGGGTGGTTCTTCTGTATCTGCTTGTTGTTTCAGGACATGAAAGAGCTCTTCTGCCAGAAGCTATTCAGTGTAAACCTCTCGCTCTGCTCTCAATGCATCTGCTGGAGGATGAATATATAATGGCAAAGCTTCATTATTTCCCACTCCCTCATTCAGTGGGAGCAATCGTCTCTGCATTATCTCCCTGCTGTGTGTTTGATGTGATTAACTCTGTCTCCAACCGAGTGCCAGGTACACATGCCGAGATCAGTGAGACAGCTTCTCAGTCTGCCCAGAGGCTGCTGCTCAAGCTGACCTGCTCAGTGCATGAGTGCTAGCTGTTCTCCAAGAGCCCCTGCAAGGAACATTGCATCCGGAAAGACCTCAGCTAAAGAATGACACACATTCCCATAGGAGCACAGCAACCAATGTCCTCCCCCATGTCTTTGAACCTGCAGGATTACATTTGACCTAAACAGTGAGAAAGTATAAATGTTTCTTTGGGGCCAGGTCTCTCACATACAATTACAGAGAAGCTGTGCTAAGGGATGCTGGCAACAGATCTGATCCCGGGACTGCATTTGCAGAGATTTTGATTTGGGCAGAACCCCAAAGGGCAGACCTGCCACTGGCTTGCAGGATTTCTGCTTTACAGTTATGACACTGTCAGAAATCTTAATGTGCCAGTTTAACTGAGGGGCCTGAATACATAATTATTTCTAGGAGATGAGCAACATATCAACTGCCAATAGAGTCCCCAGTGGAAATCGAAAATTTTAGCGCTCTATTTCCTTCACAGCACTTTTTCCAATCTTTTAGAAACAAACAAACCTGCAACCAACAGTCTGTGTTTTTCATTTCAAATACCCACCCTCAGCTACTGTTTTGACAGTACAGATTTAATCAGATTTCTGCATTTAAAGTGACAATTTAGCTAGAGCACAGAGCACAGAACACTGACTTTGACACATAATTCCACTTTCACCACTGGAACCCTGCATTCAGTGCCCAGTTTAGGATGGAAGTGATTTGCTGTCTCATTTGAGTCTCCCCTACTTGCTTATCTGTATCACAGAATCTGCAGCATGTGTCATCATCGTTTCTGTTTTAAAGGTGCAGTGAACAGCTTCCTTCCCACTAGATAATTCTCATGAGTCACTTCCCAAACACATTTGTCATTTGAATACTCGAGTTCAGTATAAACCAAATGCAAAATCAGTGTCCTTTCATGAAATTTAACAAACTATTCCGATTTATGTCACAGAGCATAAAACTGTAGATAAGGGATTTGTATCAGTTATGGACTCCAGGCCTCTCAGATGTTAAGATCAAAACCTAGAAAGAATAATCAGTTCACTATCCTTTCTACTAAACTCAGGGATCATTTAGAGTGAATTTGTGAGCTTAGCTGTGGATGCTCAGTGCAAGATAGCATGGCAACTTCCAATTTTTCTCATATATCAGAGGAAGATGGAAATGTCCTTAAACAGATTAGGGAAAAACACACCTAATGAAGCATAAAACTTTATACAGTTGTAGGTAATTCTGGATATATTTTGCTTCCATTTCAGACCTTGCTGAATTCTTACATAGCTGTCCTCCCTGAAAAACCTGAGTCCATTCAGAGCGATTGTCAATTTGTCTGTGGTTGCAAAGGTAGCAAGATTGGACTAGCTCTTCAAAAGAGGTAAGAAAGCAAATTTAAACATTCACCTCAGCCATCGTGTAAAAGCATGGACCTTTTCTAGGTGTATCTCAGGATTGAATTCCAGGTTGATTTAAACTTGGTTTTAGGGCAGAAGCAGAGTGTTTCTTTAAGAAGCCATTTTATCCATTTATGAGCTCTAAACAGCTACTGGGAATTCGGATAATGAATTACTATGTGAAATATTAATATTACATCTAAAAAGGTTCTTCAGCCAGACCATGGCTGAGCACTGGAACAGACTCCTCAGGGCAGTGGTCACAGGACCAAACCTGACAGAGTTCAAGAAATGTTTGAATGATACCGTCGAGCACGTGGTGTGACTCTTGGGGTTGTCCTGTGCAGGGCTAAGGTTTGGACTCAATGATCCTTGCAGGTCCCTTCCAACTCAGCCTGTTCTGTGATTCTGTGACCTGTATCATAGCTTGCATGAGTGGAGCTTACATGAATTTCTAGGTTATATGGGGGATGAGTTGTTACTGAACCACTGTAGTATTTCTTTGTGGGTTAACTGACATGGTATGGTGGAAGATAGAAGTCTTGTCCTCCTGCTGGAGTTTACTCTGATGCCCACAATTAGTTTCTGAATGGCCTGCTGTCCAACTTCCAGTCTGCAGAAAAACACTTTTTATTTTGCCATTGGTACACTAAATGGAAATACCCTGAAAGTTATGGTAGTCATATATATGCAGGTTTATATTTGTATTTATGATTTGGAAAAATTTATCTTCTGAAGTTCTTTATTGTTTGTTATAGCTGAGTGCTGAGTTTCTTTTAATCTCTCCTTATGTAGCAATCCCTCCATCTTCATGATTATTATCCATTGTTCTTCTCAGAACTCCATATGGTTTTTCTACATTGTTTCAAGAAAGAAGGTGCCTAAAACTCTCAGTGCAATATTCTACCTTCATTGTGACTATACAGATAGGGTCTATTATCTTCCTGCTCCATGAGAGGCATAAATATCTCTGCTTTATGCAGCTCAAGGTTGAAATGGTCCTTTAGCTGCCATGTTACTTTACAAATATATCTGATAAATAAGATTAAAAAAGGGTTTAGGAGGGGAAAAAAAGAACAATAAAAAGCACTAGGTGCTGACACAACTGGCAAGTAATAATTACCGCTCTGACATTAAAAGGTTACCAGCCCTACCTCCCACCATAAAAAACATCCTGGTATGAGCTGGTTTAACTAAATTAGTTTTTCCTTGTGTTACTGATCTGTGATTTAACTGCTCTGCAAACTATCAAAAATATTCATAAAACTTGGAAGCACTGAAAATTCTTAAGTAAGTATATAATATGGGTTAATATGTATTAAAAAACAGTGGTTCCAGTAAAATAGTGTATGCAGAATATGTGCACATTCCCAAGAACATTATACCAGATAACCTCAGACATGAGAGCATTTCAGTGTGTGAACAAAACTGTCCCAAAGTCTTTTATCATATCACAAAATGAAGGGATTAAAAGAAACTACTGAAAAAAAAAATATACTCTGAGACTGCTATTAACTGTGAGAGGATACAAACCCCTTTACTGGGACTTGAGACTCCTGTTTTGGCTGCTGTACTGAGTCTGTGTTCTGGAAAGAAAGTCCTGCTGTGACGCACCAGCAGGCTCAATGGACCTAAGGAGAACATGAATTGGGACTCAGTTTTTGCAATTTTAAGTTCATATTGCAGCCAAATCTTTCATAACTACAAAGTTTTTCTAGTTACTGAATTTAGATACCAAATCTTGCTAGAAATATGTCCAGCTTTGCATTCCTCACCCTGCAAGGGACAACACAACCCCCTAAAGAGGGCACTTAAGTTGCTAATAGAAACAACATAACAACAGAAGAGTTACAACATTTACCTTCTCTAGAGGTAGAGCAGAGCAGCCCATATAAAGCTAACATTTTGTCCCACTCTTTATTGGGTGCCTAAAGAATTCTAGACATTTCCATCCACAGGTTCAGGTCTATCTTGTTGTTAAGGACATGCTGCTTGGTTCAAAACCACACTGCCTTTCCTAGCATTAGAAGTGTCTGGCAGTGTGAGGTGCTGTCCACTCACCCACGAAATGGGCAAACTGGCTTCTGGACTCACCACAGCCTCAGGCATCTGCATCCATCTGCCTGCTCTGACTTTCTCTTTCCCTGTTCTTCTGCCAAAACACTGCCCCTCAATGTATCCAGGAATGTGGACACTGTGGGGACCCAAAAGGAGCTGCCAGGAGTCAGATTTGGGTTCCAGAGTATGGCATGGGAAATGTGTGTGGGCATTTTCCATATGACCACTGTTGGAATTAAAAACGAAAGCACTTCAGGAAAAAAAGGACAAGGTGTAGCAGCAATTCTGTATTGGGATGCATTGTTTATCAGAGAGAATGTTTCATTGGAACATTCCTCTTTTTTTCCACTGGAGCTTAAAAAGGAGTAATTTCCCTTGCTCTCCTCTGTCTGCAATGCCTATGTGGAATAAACGGCAATAAAACCAAAAAATGCTGAAGGACCAAAAGGACTTCTCTCATGCTGAGCACTGGTATCCAGGGCAGAATCATACTGATTTATATGTTGTATTTCTGGTTTCCATCACATGGACTTTATGGGGAACCATAAAATGGAAGCCAGATTAATTAAGTCAGGAATCATAGAATCATGTAAAATCTGAGAAAAGAGTTATTGCTTCTGTTTCTTGGTATATCTGCATGCATGGCTAGAAAATATATTCAAAGAATTACAGAATTCATATTCCATGGAATGGAAGGAACCTACAAGGATCATTGAGTCCAGCCATTAGCCTTGCACAGGACAGCCCCAAGAGTCACAGCATGTGCTCCACAGCATTGTCCAAATGCTTCTTGAACTCTGTCACGCTTGGTGCTGTGATCACTGCTCTGAGGAGCCCAGTTCCCTAGTTTCAGTGCCCAATCACCCTCTGGATGAAGTGCTTTTTCCTAATATCCAGCCTAAACTTCCCCTAACACAACTTCAAGCATTCCCTTGGGTCCTGTCACTGGTCACCTTAGAGAAGAGATCAGTGCCTGACCCTCCTCTTGCCCTGACAAGGAAGTCATAGATTGCAATGAGTCTCCTTTTCTCCAGGTTGAACAGACCAAGTGAACTCAACAACTTCTCATACAGCTTCCCCTCAAGGTCCTTCACCATCTTTGTTGCCTTCCTTTGGACGCTCTCTAAAAGGTCAATATCTTACTTCTATTGTGGTGCCCAAAACTGCACACAATATTCAAGTTGAGGTCGCACTAGTGTAGAACAGAACAGGACAATCACCTACCTCTGGTAGGTGTCCCCCCGGACACGGTTGGCCCTCCTGGCTGCCAGAGCACTGCTGACTCATATGCAACTTACTGTCAACCAGAACCCTCAGGTCCCTTTCAGTGGCACTGCTTTGCAGAATCTCACTCCCCAGTTTGTACATACATCTGGGATTGCCCCATCCCAGGTGAAGAATCTGGCACTTCCCCTTGCTGAACTTCCTACAGTTGGTGATTTCCCAGTCCTCTGATGTGTCGAGGTCTTTCTGCAGGGCCTCCCTGCCTTCGAGGGAGTCAACAGCTCCTCCCAGTTTTGTGTCAAGGGATACTTGCTTAGTATCCCTTCCAGTCCTGTGTCCAAGTCATTCATGATGATGTTGAAGAACACACAGCCTAAAATGCAGCCCTGTGGAACTCCACTAGTGACAGGTCACCAGTGTGATGTCACCCCATTCACTATTACCCTCTGTGCTCCACTCCTGAGCCAATTGCTCACTCACCACATGATGTGTTTATCCAGCTGTGTGCAGAAAGATCCTGTGAGAGACAGTATCAAAAGTTTTAATGATGACATCCAACAAGATGACATCAGCTGGCATACCTTGATCAGCTAGGTGGGTTACCCTGTCATAAAAAGAAATCAGACATGACAAGCAGGACTTTCCTCTCATGAAGCCGTGCTGGCTGTGTCCAATGACTGCATTGCCCTTCAGGTTTTATTTCAACACCCACCAAGAATAATCTTCTCCATAACTTAGGCACTGAAGTGAGACTGACAGGCCTGCAGTTTCCAGGGGCATCTTTCTTTCCCTTCTTGAAAACTTTGTCAGCTTTCCAGTCAGCTGGGACCTCTCTGGATACCAAGGACCACTCAAAAATCATTGCGAGAGGTTTTGCAATGACATCAGAAAGCTCTTTGAGGATTCTGGGATGAATCCCATCAGGCCCCATAGATTTGCAGGGATCCAGCTGGAGCAGCAGATCCCTCACAACTTTTATCATTCTCACAGCCATGGTCTTCCAGCTCAGGGCATGGGACCCCCTTCATCTGTCATTGGTGTTGAAGGCAGAGGCAAAGAAAGCATTAAACATCTCTGCCTTGTCTCTGTTCCTGTTTGTGAGGTGACCATCCTCATCCTGTAACAGGCCAATGATATTTTTATACTGCCTATTGCCATTAATATATTTAAAAATACTCTTTTTATTATCCCCCATTTTTCTGGCCAGCTTTAACTCCAGTTGAGCTTTGGCTGCATGAATTTTCTCCTTATAATGGCTAAGAGCATCTCTGAATTCTTCCCATGTCACTTGACCTAGTCTCCACTGGGCCTACACCTTTCTTTTTTACCTTATCCAAGAGAAGATTCCTTCTGAGCCAAGCCAATCTTGTGCCTTGCCTTCTTGACTTCCAACATTTGGGAATTGCCTGCTCCTGTGCCCTTAGGGGGTGATGTTTGAAAACGGACCAGCACTGATTGCATTAGAACTCCTACTCATTACACAGATAATTCATTATATGGTTAATTCTGTAGTTTTTATAAAGAAGCATAATAAATACAAACAAATAAATTAAAATAGAAGAAAATACTTGTGAAATTCAGTCAGCAAAGACTAAAAAACAGAAATTTGTTTCCCCATATTGGCAGCTGGCACAGTTAAAATTCAATAAAGGGAAGAAAATAAAATATTTTTCTGATAAATAAGCCAGGGAAAATTCCCTACTAGACCAGAAAAAGGAAAAACAGACTTAGGCTTTTCTGAACAGCAGGGAAGTCCCTAGAATGCTCTGGGGCTGATGCCTCTCCTTATTCAGAGCAAAATTTTATGGTTACTATCTTTCCTTATAAGTCCTGCAGTTTAGTCAGTGTTGTAAAATATAGCTAAGCTCTAAAATGTAGTGAATTTTACAAGATAATTCAGATGAGCTCAGTAAACAGATTACATGGGTTTGTTAGGATTCGTCTCCTATAGAGAAAGGCAAAAGTGGAAAAAGGATTGTGAGAAGAGACTGCAGAATAGAAAAATTTTTGCTTGCTATTCAGTTTTGTTTTAGTAAAGTTCCTGTTGCCTTGTCCTATCAACAACAAACTATCTGTCTTTCAAGACATACCACTTAGTGTCTGGATTTGGAAAACAGTACAATTTATTGCCACATTTTGCAGAATATTGACACTGGTGGGAAATCACTTTCTCCGAAAAAAAAAAAGAAATCAGTATTTTGAATACTTATTGCTTCATGTATAGATTTTAAGAATCCAAAAGGTTATCATGAATCAAATATGTTCATAAGATCTAGTAAGATGATAGGAACAGGAACACTCACCTTTTTATAAATTGAAAACATCTTATTTTCATTAAGAGCTTCATATATTTTATTAGAGAACATACAAAGCTATTCCAAGAGAAAACTGAACTTTTCCATTTGAAAATGTGATACTTTCCATGTGAAAATGTGGTTTGCTTTGTTTTTGTTGTTTTTGTTTTTGTTTTTTTAAGTCTATGTGGGAAGTTTTTCAAAAGTGGAAATTTAATCTTTCCTCTGGTGGTTTTTTTTGCTTTTAATCACATCCCACTTTGTAGACATACAGCTAAATATTTTTCAAAGAGCTTTATCCTTTTTAATGCTTTATCCACTTATAAAAGTGCTCTTTGGCAAACACCACTGTCAAAACTACAGGGAACAAAGTTAAATGTAGAATTTGCTTATATAAATGTTTGCATGAAAACATCGAAGCACCTCACTCATCTCACCCTCATTGTAATCATTCACTATAGTTGTATATGTAATTCAACTCTCTCGAAAGCAGCTGCACGTTTTGCACAGGAGAGAGGAAGCCAGAGAAATATTAGGGATAGAAAAGTAGCTGATAATGAAATAGGAAGTCCTGTCTGTCAGATGAAGGTTGCCTTTGATTGCACACAGTCAAATGTAAACCTGAATACTTTTAATTTGGTCTGGGATTTTCTGGTATTTCTTTTCAAATAGTTAATTTTTCAAACTAGGCCTTACCCTCTGACAGAGATGTGATATGATGTTATTCCAATAAAATGTTGAGGTAAGCAACAAAAGATGTAGGTTTTTCCATACATATTTTTTTCTTTGAAAGAACATATTCCCATAATAGAGCTTTATTTCTGCTATGATCATAGCATTCTATTTCCCCGCCAGTATGTCAGTGTGATTATTTTAACTCAAAGTTAGATGTATCCAGCCCACAGTACTGCTCAGTGATTGACCCTCTGGTAGCAGGTTTAGTCCCACCTCTTATCCATGTACCTCTTCTGTGAGTCATTTGTGAAGCTATGTAATATGCAGGTCACTTATTAAATTGCCCCAAGCAATTTTAAAGAAAGACATGGGGTACTTACTTGAAAAAATTGTCCAAAGGTTTTCAGGGAATGTGTTACCGTGTATCTCAAAGGATACTTCTGGTCATTCTCCTCTTCGTTTTTCCAGCCGCTTCCACTTCTGACCAGTACTGTTCTTTGGCATCACCCTGACTGGGCTGCAAATCCCTAGCCATGCAGAATATTCAAGTATAAGAAAATTGAATGGGTTTTCCCCATACATACCTCTAACCCTCTTCTCTGGTTTCAGGACATATGTACAAATCTGCCTAACAGGAAATCAGATATTTTTCTCCAAGTCTCGTCTGTCAACGGAGTGTCCTGAAATCAGCCAAATACCCATTGTAGGTCAAAGTAGCACTTCAAGAATACCATAATATTTACTATATTACAAAAACTAGCAGTTTCTTGTGACAATTTTAGAATCTTAAATGAAAATATTTAGTGTTTTATTCTATGCTATCTTCAGTAGTTTTCTCTTTTCCTTCCCACAATATGTAACATGTTATCAGGATAGAAGGAGACACACCAAGACAGAAAACAGTGCTTCTAATTAAGCTTTTCAACTGGACTGTATTGATGGATGTACCAGATTTCTGCATACAGATTAGAGACCCTGTTCTAGGAAATTATAACTCATGATAATCTCAATGGTTTTGAGCAGATGGAGAAAGAGAAAAATTTTCTCATATGACACCGTTAAGCTCATTTTTGCAGTGTTTTAAAGTTGGCTTGCTTTATGAGTACCACAGATATATTGTCTGCCTGATATTGCACAGAAGTCAGGGAGGATAATGCAATGATGGGGCTGGCAGATCTGTCATGGGAAACCAAAAAAAAACCTTGTGCTTTTGCTGCATCTTGATCTTCTTACTGGAGTTAGCACTGTGTTCTTATTGATTTCCCACCTTCACGGCTCACTGCAATAAATTTGAAGCCTAAATCAAACTTTCACAAAAACAAAAGCACTGATTTTCTGTTACATTTCTATTTCTGTAGTCATTTATATGTGAGCAGATATTTAATATTACCGATCAGATATGGTAATGTGTTACACATTATTTGTACTCTCTTTGCAAAGATGAAGAGATGAAATAAACACAGTATATAGAGTAATGGAAAAAGAAATACAAAGTAAAGCAGAAATAGAAAAAGAATGGGCCTTGAGGGTAGGTTCTGGCACAATGCTCATTTATCTCTACCATTGATAATGAGATAAATGAGTGCACCTAGCTGGCGGCAAAAAATGCTGTAATTGCTAAAAACAATACAGCCTATATTTTTTAGATAGCCTCTATAATAAAAGAGATACTTGTCATTCTGAACATATCACTGATATTTCAATGTCTAACTTCATCCCTTAGAGGGCAAAATGGGAAAGTTATGGGGCTCTGGTAAGAAAATTAAGGATATGGTCACCTGACACCAGTTTGTCATTTTCTCCTTCAAACTGAATATATATATCATAAAAACATAAGAGAAGTAGATGTCATATTAATAAAGAATTTAATTTTATGGTAAACTTTAACCCCTTAATATGAAAGAAAGTATCTTGATTGTGCCTCAATAAATTCAGCCCACGACTCAGTACAACTCAGTACCAGAGAACGGGCAACACCTGGCCTGGCTCTAGTCTTAAAATATGATAGCACAATTTCAATTCCAGTGAATTTATTTTTTAATTTTAGATTTTTGTTAAAGAAAAAAGATAATAATATGTTGCTATCAGGAATATTAAAAGTTCAGGCATGTATTTGCAATGTGCATTTAAAAAATTTTCTTCTGATTATCTATTCAGGCAATAAACAATTTTGCTGTTCTATTTTCTGGAAGAGAGATAATTTTTTTAGGATTTTTTTTTGTTGTTTTTTTGGGGGAGTTTTGTCATTGACGTTCTCCATTTTTATCTTCCAATCAGAAGATTTTTTCCTGTATGCCAAAAAGGTAAAGATAAGGAAACCACAGTAAGTCATACATACCTAGCCAGCTGTGTTTCAGAGATTATTTCAGTGACTGAGCAGCAGGATACAGATGGGCTGATGTGCTCATTTCCTAAAGGTGTCTTTGATTTATCTGTGGT